GGCAAAAATAGGTTTGCTTCATCGACAGTCCCACCAAAGAATATGATATGGCAAAAGGCTTGGTCTTCCTTGAAATTCACACTCGTGACAACGTGGCTGAGTGATTAACGTTGGAGAAACTCCCATTCTGAACTATTACGGTTCGACTCCCGCTGAGGGTGTGGATAAGACCGAGGCGGGAAGAGGAACTTTTGGGAAAGCAAGGCTATGTGAAATTGAATATAAACGTCAGCTCAATTCATATGATTGTGGGGAAATTCTACTACCCGTTCTTCATCACCTTACACAAATAGGGTGAATACATCTCATATTACTTAAATACGATAAATAAGTAATATAGTCGATTGGTATGGCAAAAATAGGTTTGCTTCATCGACAGTCCCACCAAAGAATATGATATGGCAAAAGGCTTGGTCTTCCTAGAAATTCACACTCGTGGCAATGTGGCTGAGTGATTAACGTTGGAGAAACTCCCATTCTGAACTGTCACGGTTCGACTCCGGCTGGGGCTTTTGATAAGACCGAACGCGAGAAGAACAACTTTTGCGCAAGCAAGACTGTGTAAAATCCAATGGAAACGGGCCAACGCGTCCTCTGTGCACCGTCCTGCAAACCCTGCGAGCTGTAGTTTGTCAAGTGGCCGACATCCTCAAAATGAAACTATTTTGTTGAGCTTACTTCCATTTCGAGTGAAAGTGTGCGATGAAGATATCCGAAGGTCGGTTCCACCAGAAGACGACAGCCGATTCCTCTTGGAACATTGATGGTGACGCTGTTGCCGAGACAATCTCACTCGATTCCGGTGAAAAGGTGCTAAGCTTTCGTGCGTCACATCCTCGAAGTAAAATTATTTTCATCTTCTGACGAAATACACCAAATATCGAGTCGAGAATATGGACTAGTCGAAAGCCTACAGACTCATTATGGCGCCGTCTGATTTGTTTCATCGTACATGACTGAAGATGAGTGAAGCGGATGCGGATGTGGATTAACGGCTGTTTGCGTAAATTAAATACAACAAAATGATTTAGTATTCGAAATAAATTGTAGGTTAGCGTGTGTTCTGCTGCTTACTTGCCAGTGTGTTGTGTATATGTATCATACTCACGAGTTGATTGAGTCGGTAGTGCCCAAACCGGATTCGAGGCTAACCGAGCCTTTCTCTTTCTCATACACTCAACGGTTCCTATTGCTCTCTCCTTATCTCTCGCATTCTATCGAAAAGTTGGAGAGACGTTCAACTTAATTTCCAGCATTTGTTCGTTCAGTACAGGATGCTATTTGGGCTGCTCCATCGCACAGATTTCCTGGCATTCCCATCAAATGAATGACCTGCATGTCCTGCAAAACGTGGTTCTGTATCAGTCCAGTATTGGAGCAGTCAAGCTGTCTGGACGAGCAAACAATACTTTTCGTGTAAAAGTTGGCTTTCGAGGCTACCAGTAGATCACAAAAAATAAGATGTATCCAACCCATTCCGTTTACGGTGATGAAGGACGATTGGAAGCTAAATTTTGCCACAATCCTATGAGAAGACCATACGCTGGACACGTCTCATCGATGCGCCCAGCGGGACTCTAACCCGGTTTGTGGTAGTACAACGTACATTACCCGCAACAAAAACACTGCTGCGAATGGCCTTGGGTAACAGGGCAGATGTGAATTTCAACGAAGACCAGGCATCATTCCATAGCACATTCTGTAGTGAGGCTGTCAGTGGAGCTAATTTCGACTGAATAGAAACGTAAGGTCTATTCAACTGATTGTGAAAAACTCGAATATTGGTCCTCGTATCACATTAAACGAAATATAGTTAATACATACCATAACCGAATCTTAGTAAACGGTTCTGTGTTTAGATGACTTTCCAAAGATGCTACCACATGAGAACACCACCAATTGACAACCAGGTCCGAACGGGGGTCTGGGAAAGTGTTCAACTTCTACACGAGCTTGATTATTACGAAAGTTTCCTGCACCGGGTAACTAAAGAAGATCTTCATGAAGTGTAGCAGAGTTTGGAAGGAATTTAACTTGGGAATGACGAAAAAAAGTGATGTTGGTATAACTTCGTCTGAAAAAGTGGCTCTACAGGACACCAAAGAAGAAAAGTGCTAATAAGTTCTTGGATCACATTCCTGCGGCCAAGCGGTCCATCTGCCCTAATCTTTTGTCTGTCACGCGACCGACATTGTCGGAGCCGAAAATCGTCAATTACACAAAGTTGACAGTAAAAATTGCATTTCTTGATTAAGGCCAAAGCCGGGCTTGGACGAACCTCGTCAAAGACATCAACTTCGAAGGGTCTTGCATGTCACATACAATGGCTGATAGGTCATACGGCAAAAAGGATCGAGGGGATGGCAACTGCAGTGTCTTGTCACATCTCTCGTCAAAACACCGACCAGCCGGTGAGCAGTTGTCTCTCGACTCACGTAACCCCGCTGGGAGCATGAGTCATCTGTACCACGTGCCGTGGGGACTAAGCGAACCCAGCCACGGCGTCGAGAACCCCCGCCAGAACCAATCAGAATATGACATCGACATCACTCTGGAGCATTTTAAAGCTGCTTCTCGGCTGCTACCTGCGGGCTCTTGCGAATCTGTGAGCTGATGCTCATTTCTTACCCCCACAGCACACGCCGCCATCGTCTTGGTTTTTCCAACTCCGAATCCTGGCCCGTAGATTTTTCTTTTTTTTAATACACAATAATGTGATGTATTCACCCAAATTTCGTTTAAGGTGATCAAGGACTGGTAGAAGAAGAATTTTCCCACAATCATATGAGCTGAGGTGACGTTACAATTCAATTTCACATTGTCTCGCTTTTCCAAAAGGTGTTCTCGTCCTTAAACGAAATTGGGTGAATACAGCTCATACTACTGATTTACTGGTAGCCACTAAAACAATAGTTAATTCGAAAAATATGTGAAATTGAATAGAAACGTCAACTCAACTCATATGATTGTGGGAAAATTCGACTACCAGTCCTTCATCACCTTACGCGAAAT